AAGCGGAAAGTGAATTTTGAGAATGATGAGGGCAACGAATGTATAAGTGTGCTTTACACAATTGATGTATGTATGGATTGCGATAAGAGTTGTATGAGCCCCAATAAAATGATTTTTTTTTAAAAGAAGAAGAAAATGAAGAAAAAAAAAGATCCCAGACACTTGATGTCTTCACAAGGGCGAGGACTGAGCAAGGGCCATGTCATAAGAATTAGATGTTCTTAGATTGGAGAAAGAATTATGTGTGAGCCTATAAACCATTCTTATATATATGGTTTATATATGTCTTCATCTCAGTGTTTATCCTTATATAGAAGTAGATTCACATAATGGCCACAGGCAGTAAATGAATGAGTGTAGCTATCTCCAATAAAACTTTATTTACAAAGACCAGCAGCAGTGAGGCTCTGTTTAATTACCCCTAGATTAGAAAATAAAATGAAGTAGAGTTCTTCACCAAAAGTTCTTCCCTGTTACTTATCTGATATTTTACTTTACGTAAATCCCATTCTTTTAAACTTTTAGTGCTTTTTAAAAAAATAAATCATTTTATTGGGGGCTCATACAACTCTTATCATAGTCCAGTGCCTGCCTCTTTTAATCACATTTGAGTGCCCTTGTGTTTTTATACCTGCATCTTCTTTCCCAGGCGTGTTAACATCCTTATATTCTTTCATATCTTCCAAAGTTGTTGTAAAGTTTATCTCTAAATTTAATTAATCATCCATTTACTGAGTTTCAGGAATGAGTGACATAATGAAATGGAGGTAGTAAACTATAGACCACCATGGATTTGGTTGGTCTTGGATGGCCTCTTAGACTTCAGAAACTCAAGGGAAATTAAATACTCCAGCCCAGTCTGCAAGTGTATGGAATCCACTCAATCTTAGGGAATCTACCATGAACTGGTCCTTTTGCAGATCATGCCCCTGAGCAAAGTACCAACGGTATGATTTGTGTTCCTTTTGGGGATTCTCTCTCCTTCTGTGTGACTAGGAAATAAAGTGAGTATGGATGCTAACCTACCCTGAGAAAGCCTTAAATTAAGATTGTGAGATTGTGACTTCAACCAGCTCTACTGAATTGTGGCAAATGGACTTCTCTCGGCTGGTTGTCTTCTTTTTCCTTTGTGCCCTTTCATTCATTTCTGACCATTGCCGTTGTAGCCTAGTGTTTCCATAAATGGATGATACTAACCATCCACCCACCTCACCCCTGGGGTACTGGGGGAGCTGCAAAAGCAGATATCTAAGCTTTATCCTGGATTATGGGCAGTAATATTAAAAAATTTAATTGCTAGGGGTTAACTGAGTAATAATAATAGGCATTATTATTATTTCTGAAAGGGTGCAGTAGGCCAAATAAGTTTGGGGGGATATGTGTTGTAACCGGTTAGGTTCTGAGTGAAGGGAAAAGGGATCCATTCAACTTTCTTATGTTGTAGCCTGCTTTTAAAAGCTTGCCTCAATTTATATAAAATAATCTATGCTAGCTCATTGGAGACATTAAGTTGGGATTTGGAATTCAGATTATGGAGTGAGGGATATTTAGGCAGTGAATATACATCTAGTTCCCTCTGTACACATATTTTTCTTGTTGAGCTCTCAGGAAAAAGGGTAGTTGACAAGACAAATGGGCTCCTTCCATTTCTCA